AAATTATTCATACTTTGGCCAGAAGACTGTTTGGCTGTACTGGATCATGGATTCAGATCCCTTGGTCTGTTGTCTCCCAACATCAAAGGTTTATTTTTGATTTTTTTTTTTATAGCCCCTTTGCTATGACATTTAATATGTTGCTTGTTTGAGGGGCTGCTCCATGGTGCAGTGGTTTGCATTGCTGCCTCTCACTGCTGGTGCCCTGGGTTGGGTTGCAGTCTTGGGGTGCAGTTTGAAAGTTCTGTATTCTTGTGAGTTTTCTCTGGGTGCTCTGGTTTCTCTTAACAGTTCAGATTAGCTTCTGGTAAAATTGGCCTTAGCTGTGCGTGTGTGAGGGATTGTGTACGTGTCTGCCCTGTGATGGACTGACATCCTGTCTAGGGTGTACTCTGCTCTGTGTCCGTTGCTTGCCAGAATGGGCTTCCACTCCCCTGTGACACTGAATTGGAAGAAGCAGGTAGAAGATGGATGGATGAATGTTCGATTGGTCCATCTAGACCAGCTAAAAGATACTTTGTGTGCAATCCATGCAATTCCCTTTATCCATTGCTCTGTAACAAAGCTGTGCACAACAAGGAGGTGCTTAAAGTTGGGGGAAGAAGCAATATGAGGAGGAAAGGATTTGAATTTGAACCAAGTAGGCCAGCTTTAGCAGAGGAGACCCTGAATATGCTGGGAAGTGCTTGAAGCTTCTGTGATTCTTCTCAGAAAATACTGTATCTCAGACAAAACTGTAACTCAAACAGTTTTGATCATATGACGGGGAATTTGTCAGTTGTTGAAGTCCCCCTCCCCTACTGAACAGTCAGAGGGTTATAGTTGGACTATACATCACAGCTTGTAGTGAAAAAGGTGTACTTTTATATAGGTGACCTCTTTTCTTAATGGGTACATTAATGTTGTACGCCGTTTGGAATTGCCACTGGTAAACCTAAAGCAGAGCCCAAGAACATAACCCCTCCCAAAGACTTGTGTGACGAGCCAAGGCTCTGCTGCCTTTAAGAAATCCATGTAATGTTGGCAGCCACACCAGATTCTTACCTCAGAAATGGTTGTCCTCCAGTGTAGGTTGATCATCTTATATTCGTTTGATTTCAGAGAACTGTAGGAAGAAATGTTGGGGAAACTCCGTCTGCTGTGTCCCATGTGAACCCTGTAATATGCTGACAAACTTCCTGATTAAACTTAACAGGATATGTGTGAGATCAGCAGTGCACCTAATCAGTGCAGCCTTCCTCTATCATTTTATCATGTGAAGTGCTAAATAAGATTTTGACAAATTAGTTGGAAAGGCCAAACAAGGTTTCTTGTTTTCCCATTGTTTTCCAGATTTTTTTAATACTACCTTCTGTTTCAGAGGTTTATTCATCATTGATGACAAGGGGATCCTGAGGCAAATCACCATCAATGACCTCCCTGTAGGCCGATCAGTAGACGAGACCCTGCGCTTAGTGCAGGCCTTTCAGTTCACAGACAAGCATGGAGAAGGTAAGACTTTTTTTTTTTTTTTTTCCCGAGTTACCTTCATGATTTAAGTCTGGACTGTGGAATTTAGCACAATCACCAATTCTCTCAAGGTCCCTGAGAAGTCACTCTTCCAGCTGTGGTAGCCAAAGTAATGGGCAACTGGGCCTGCCTGGCAGTTTTATACATGACCCTAAGCATGATGGGAAGTTAATTGCTTAATGAACTTGGGAACCAAACCTGTGTGAAAACATCTGCTTTCAGTATACTTTGTATCCCTCAGTTACTCCTTTGTTTTGGCAATTATCTGTAGCTCAGCCTGCACCCCAAGTGTGCACTTGTGCTGGTTGAGAAGTTCAATACAAACCCTTTAAAAAAAACAAAAAAACCAATAAAAAAACAAAGAAGTTTACTTCAAAGCCACGTTCATTATATTCCTCAGCATGCTCATCTGCACTGGATGGATAAGCCTTCAAAGTCTTATTTAATGATGCCAAGAGCAATTCATCTGGAGTTCTCAGTTTTACATTGTTGAAATAAAGTAAAGGGTGTTAAATAAGATAAATAACGATACCATGTCGGGTGAGGTGGTTAAAGGTCAAAGTGTGTTAACCATATTTGTTGGTTTCTAGTGTGCCCCGCGGGCTGGAAACCAGGAAGTGACACCATCAAGCCCGATGTCCAGAAGAGCAAAGACTTCTTCGCCAAGCAAAAATAAACTGACTCGTCTGTGCACTGTTTTCTAGGCCTTACCACTGCTACACTGTGTAGGGGATCAAAGTTGTGAATTTCCAAAAAATGGTGTAATGATGTTCTAGTGACATGTACATGTTATATTTTATTACTGTTAAAATTGTTACAAAATGTAACTTGAAGAGTCCTTGTCATCATAAAAGCCCACGTGACTCTTGATGTTTGTGAAAGATTCCTTGAGTAACTGAATAAGCCTTTTAGTACCTCCTGCTTCTGCGGTCTTGTGAAGATGCTAGCTTAGTGCTGCCGAGCTCTAGATTTTGCAAGACGGTTGTAGTATGAAACCTGGTATTGGAGATGTAGGGTCACGGAGCCTGAATGTAGTCCTTCATAAAAGCTAGAGCCATCCTTTAAGGTCACCAGCTACTCTACTGTAAGGAGAAGTGGATATTTGTATTAAAGAAGAACTGTAAATGTAGAACAGAAATGTATTTTTGCTTCATAAAGTACTTGTTTTTGTTTTCCCTCTATCTGCTAAATGAAGAGAGGGGCCTGTGGTCCCTGTAGATCCCATTGTTTCCTTTTTTCAGTGTGGAGTAATTAGACTCTTAATGACACATTAGATGCTTCAACTTTTGGAGGTTTACAGTACTTGCTACTCAGATGCCTGCCTTCAGATGTGTTCATATGAATTTACATTATTTGCATTTCTGTAGTGTTCTACATGTAGGAGTAGGCACAGTTTATTCTCCACTGCTGTGCTCCACTACACTTTCATAAATTTGAATTGACACAATGGGGCAATGAATGAAGGGATGGAACATCATGAATTAAGGCACAGTGTACTGAATACATTAGTGTATTGCCTGACACCCATGCTGTAAGGTCAAGGCTCCCTGACTTGCAAGGAATGAACGAGGGAGGTGGCTGTAAGGGTGTGGTTGGTTTGGAGAGAGTGGGGTAGAAAAGATGGGAGCAGAACAATGGACAGCATCCAAATCTTGAAATGTGTGAGATTGCAATATGACCTCCTCCAAACATCTGTTCAGCAACACTTCTGAGAGCTAACTAAATTGGGCGATGTGGTGATAAAGCTGTAGGTGTAACATTGTATTCAGATTTCATAGCCTGTGAACATCTGCCCAAGCAATGCTCTTCAATATATGGATGGTGCAAATGTGTTTTCTTAAACGTGCAAATGGGTTTATTTCTGGGTTTTTCGCTCTATTCTCACATCACCTGCTCATTCAACCTTCATGATTGAGGTGATTTAATGCTTTATGCATCAGTCTCTTGAAAGTAAGTCGTGCATTATAAATTAAGCTAAAAATATATAATCACTATCCAAAATGTATAACTTTTAATTTGGGGGAAAAAAGCCTACTTTGCACACAGTGATGTTTATTTTGACTCCATACATACAAGATGGTGAAGATAACTTACGGTCATGTTAATACAACAAATTGTAATGACAGGCAAGGTTTTTACAAACTGGAAGAGCAATGCAATTGTAAAAACAATATGTGGCTTGGATACCGAGCAGTCATGATAACTATAAACCAAGTATATTAATAGATGGAGAGCTGCCATATACTCAGATGTAAATGAGAGCTAAGAGGTCACAGGTGCTGTCTAAACATGAGTTTCGAGCAGGCACTGATTGAGGTGATTTAATGTTCAGTGATCAAGATGTTAAAATTTCTGTGGGAAATCCGTTCCACGAGGAAGTAACACGGGTGGAGAATGAGCTGTCCGTGGAAGTGGGAGAACTGAGGGCGCAAGGGAGGACTGTGTAGGGAAACATTACGAGACTGAAGATTGGAGCGACCAGAGGGCTTGGCGTAGCAAAAGATGAGGACTAACGTTTTCAATTACCTTACTGTAAACCTGTTATCTCAGATCGTATGAGAGGACCTTGGCATCGATAGTCTTCAACTGCTGTGCGTTCGCTGTCAGTGTGACAAAACGGATGAAACCATTTAGTAAATGTAATATTGTTTCTTGTATGTCAAAGTAAACCTCGTTTATTATCAGTATCCTTATTTATAAGGACACTGTCTTTACATCTCAGTTAAATGCCTCTCAGAATAACGTCTTCAACTCACGAAAAGTGAACTTCTTTGTTGTGTGCCCTGTCACCGACATAAAAATGTATAAAAACCACTCCCCTGAAAAAGGCTCCATAGGCTAAACGTGTTTTTTCTATTCTCTTTTCAGCATGGAATAAACCTTTAGCTTGTCCCATATGTATAATTATACTCTATCCTTCTGCTAAACGTTTACTCTATACTAAAATGCATGTATTAATGAATGAATTGAGGTGTGTACACTATGCACATTCGTTTTGATATTTCGTTAGAGCAAATCGATTGTTAAAGTTAGAGGTTCACGTAAAAGATGAACTGTGGCAGAGCGCGCTAGGAAGCGACTCACGCGCCCTATAGGGGAAGGACGCCTCTCGCGTGCCCCTCGAGTCCCCACAGCAGCGCTGGTTGTGGGTCAAAGACGAATTCCTTATAAAACCTTGTCTTGTTAAGTATTGATGAGTCGTAAGTAAAACCTAAGGCTTAAAATTTATAAGAAAATATTATTCAGGTGCTAAAAAGAAATATATTTAGTGGCACAAATCCGTTGATATTTTTATGTCCAGACGGTAATATGACAACGGCTCAGAAGTTAAGACCAACGAAGCAGGAGACGTCTGAGGTAACAAACTTATCAACAAAAAACGTCACCGGCTTTTTTCCCGTATTAGAATAAAAAAAAATCTTTAGTTGTTGTTCGTTTACTACATTTGTGAAAGAAGCGTATGCAACGTTTACAGTAGGTCACTCGCACCTTACCAGCGGTTTTCGTTGGGCTTGTTTGCGCCATCTTGTGGCCATATGTATGTACCGGCCGGTGTGTATTTGAACAGGGCGTGTAGAAATTCATCCATCCGTTTTTCTAACCGCTTCTAGCAGTTCAGAGTCGCTGTTTGGACCCGGGGCCTATCCCGACACGCAGTGGGCGCAGGGCAGGACACACACACACACACACACACACACACACACACACACACCAGGGACAGTTTCCCCAGAAGCCAGGAAGAAACCCACGCGAACACGAGCGGAACTTGCAGTCTCCACACAGACAGTACCCCAGGGCTGGAACTGTACCAAGGGCCCCAGCAGTGCTAAGCAACGCGCCATCGTGCCGCCCCAGTGTGGACTGAAACTGGCGTGCCAATGCCATGCTTAAATCCAGTGACTGAAATTATGCATCTTTCCATTTTATTGACTTATACTTGAATGGAAATCCAATCCCACATTCTGCTCTTTCTCAGTGGACGAGCCTGTTTCCGAATGAAATCGAGTGTCAGACGCAGTCCCTGGTGTTTGTCAAGAGAATGATGGTTGTGGCTTTATCGTCTATCACCTACCTCCGCGGAATATTCCCCGAGCACGCATACAGATCGCGTTACCTGGAAGGTACGGGTTTTCTTTAAGATCTACCTAGTATGTTGTCACTTTAAACGAGTTCAAATTGAAGTTCGAAGAAGGTGATTTGTTTCTTTTCCTAGGTTTGTGCATTAAAGTCTTACGAGAGAATAGCACCTCCACTGGAGCTTGTAAACTTGTTAAATGGTACGTGCGCATTCATGGAATAGCTAATTCTGGTCTTTATCTTTTACAAACACAATGAGGTGAAACGGCATTGTTGTTTTTCAAAGGATAATGGGATGCTTTGATGCACTAGAAAAAGGATACGTAAGTACACTTTACAATTTGAGCTTTAAATATGTTTATTATAGAAGCAATTTGAAGGATATGTTTTAAATGCTTTGCTATTTTTTCCCCCTCACAGCTACAAATCCTCTTTATTGGAGTAAGTATTTATAAAAATCAATAGGATACGTTTAGGACTTTAGGTAACAGCTGTGATATTTAATTAGAAATACACCATTAACCACTATTTTTTGGCTATTCTTAGAGATATATTCTAATTAAAATAAAAACAGTATAGGAATTCTGTTACTGGAATGAAGGAATCCTTTTTAAGTCTAATGGATGATCATTCAATATACCATAGTTTCTGCACAATAAATAAAGGAATTATTAATCAATAATCCGCCTGGAAACCTTTATTGTTGCAGTTTTATAGGCCTGTTAGCTAAACATACTGATGAGGGAAGGAAGAGAAAATCGTTTATAGCCATGATCGCGTTTTGGTCAGCAGATGGCAGCAGAAACCCCTGACAATGCTAATGTACTTGTATGCCACCAGGCGCTTCCTGTAATACGTCAGATCGTGCAGTGCAGTGATTGTTCAACGCCGATATTTGGGAGATTAAATGCAGTTTCCTTTGTTTTGTTGAGAAATAAGCCCCGCAGAACTGAAATTGATAGATATTTATCAGAATATGATTTTATTTACCATGTATTATCTTGACAGTTTTACATTATGGTCTTTAATTTAAATCCCAGGTACACAGAAATCCAGATGACCCAAATGTAAGCTCTCTTTAAAATATTTTAATTGATTTTCAGGGTGCTACTATATTGAGATACATATTGTATTATGTCACATAATTTACATCTGGCTATGGCATTGTCATGCAAATAATTGGTCTTTATTTATGCAAATCACCTATGATATATATTGTAAATAATAAAAACTAAGAGGGTGATGAAGTACCCTTTGTGTTATATAAATGTTTAAAAGAGATATTTCTTTCATTTACCTCATGTTCTCTACAGAGTATTATTGAGTCTTACCAGTTTAAGATAAAATACACACCGGAAGGGCCACAAATGGACATACTGAGGTAATCATTGCATGATATGCATCTTCACATATAATGGCCTGAAATGCTCTTACTTATAGTTATTATTGTTATATTCTGTTTTAAGCAACAAGAACACTGAAGTGCAGATAACCATGGAAGACACAAAGAAAGCATCAGTCCTCCTTATTCGCAAGCTGTTTCTCCTCATGCAGAATCTGGACATGCTCCCGGACAATGTATCCCTCACAATGAAGCTATATTATTATGACGATGGTAATATAGATATATTTGATAACTACTAAATATCACTTTTTATTGGAACTGAGTGAAGGGATATTCCTCATACAGTTATAATTCATTGTATGCTTGGTACCAGATCTACTTGATCTTTTTTTATTCAGTAATTTCTGTAATCACGAAATGAAAACACGTTATCCCATAGAGTACTGTATTGTTCACCTTTGATGTCAAATTTTGGAGTTCATCAGGCTGAAGAGCTTGTTCCTGATGAGAAGGTGAATGCACTTAAACACAAGTGGGCGCCATATACAGTAATGGCCATATATAGCAGCCATATCACCCTGCAATTCACAACTGGCAACCCACTGAAGCTAAGCAGGTGTGAGCCTGGCCAGTACCTGGATGTGAGACCTCCTGGGAAAAACTAAGGTTGCTGCTGGAAGAAGTGTTAGTGGGGCCAGCAGGGGGTGCTCACCCTGCTGTCCATGTGGGTTTTAATGCCCCAGTGTAGTGATGGGGACACTGTAAACAGGCGCCGTCCTTCGGATGAGACGTAAAACCGAGGTCCTGACTCTCTGTGGTCATTAAAAATCCCAGGGCGTTTCTCGAAAAGAGTAGGGGTGTAACCGCGGCGTTCTGGCCAAATTTCCCATTGGCCCTTACCAACCATGGCCTCCTAATAATCCCCCTCTATGAATTGGCTTCATTACTCTGCTCTCCTCCCTACTGATAGCTGATGTGTGGTGAGCGTTCTGGCGCACTATGGCTGCCATCCCATCATCCAGGTGGGGCTGCACATTGGTGGTGGTGGAGGGGAGTCCCCATTACCTGTAAAGCGCTTTGAGTGGAGTGTCCAGAAAAGTGCTATATAAGTGTAAGCAATTATAATTATTATTAATGGCGATCAGGAGTATCCACTCCTGCTGGATGCTGGATGGTCCCACTCCTGCAGCTAAATAAGTAACCTTTAAATTGCTTATAGGACTTGAAACAATTTTATCAGAGACTATTAAACATGCAATTTGTGTAACAAAGTAAATTAGATATAATTAGCGGATATGTTTAATGTTTTTCTTAAACTAACACCTTTTTTGCTTAATTGATCAATACCTTAGTTATTTGAAATGTTTAGAAATAGGTGATTTAGGCTAACCAATAAGACTTACTCAATTTAGCATCTCCAGTTGGAGATCTGTGATGTAACTGTTTTGTGTCATACGCATAGATGATTATAATGATGATCATAACAAGATAATGGGAGCAATAAACGATTTCCAGCAAAAAACAGCAGCTTTTGAGCTATTGAAAAGGAAACAGTGTTATGATGGCCTAGTGATCACTATCACAATATTTAACATCTAACGTTTGTTGTCTTAGTTGAGTTCATTATCTCATTCTTTATTGATTCCCTGTGTTTGTGTTTTGGAAGTCCCTCACATCACTTTCCTTTGAGAGGAGAGATTGGTGACTGCACCTCAATGCTTTGAACAAGTTGTTTTTATCTGTCAAGACAAACTTCTGGCAGTTTACTATGTGTGTTCTGTTCCCTACAACAGTGACTCCTGCAGACTATCAGCCCCCTGGCTTCAAAGAGGGGGAGTGTGACAGTCTGTGGTTTGAGGGGAGATTTGTCAATCTCAAAATGGGAGAACTGCAGACCCCATTTCATGTGCTGAAGGTGCGGGTCGCTGCAGAGCATGGAAAAGTAGCCCAGATTCAGAGAGAGAATATCCTTGATGAACCCATTCAAGTTTCAGAGAAAAGAAGGCAAGCAGAACAGGTAATCAGAAAAAAAAAGAAAGGGATTAGCCGCTACATAGTTATATACAGAGTACTATATACTCTATGTGTAGGTAGCTGCATCAGCATGCGTAGGCTGCAAAGGAACAAGTAAAGGTTTATTCCATGCTGAAGAGAAGAAAAGAAACGCAACGTTCATCCAAAGAAGGCTCCACCGTCGAAACCTTGTGTTTCTTTTCTTCTCCTTTCAGCATGGAATAAACCTTTACCTAGCCTCTATATGATATGTTTTAAAAAAACAGACCAAAAGATGTTTGTTAGCCAGCATTTTTGTTTTTTCTTTTTCCTTTCCCTTTTTGTCACCCTGCATTGATGAATAATGTTCATAATTACTGTAGGTTACTTTGTAAAAACAGTGGGACATTCAGGTAAATTTTAGAATACTGTTTTCAAAACAACACCACTTAACCTACTCAATGTAATTACACCACTTACTCAATGTAATCAGAGTTTTTTCTATATGTAAATGCTTAAATGAAAATGTTTTATTTATTAGGACATTAGCTCAAATGTTTTCTTGAAAGTCTTAACTACAGTATGCATTTTTTTCAATATTGTAGGACACTGCTTTGTGTAGAGAAGAACAATCAACAGAGGATGGTAGGCTTCTGTAATTCTACATTCATGGCTGTTCTGTCTTAGAATATATGCAGTGATCCCTCATTTACTAGACAATATCACAGATTATTTAGTTCTATAAAATCTAAAGTAATATTATAGGTGGTTATCATTATAATGCATTTATTTTGAACAGATAGTGTGGAGGTGAATAGAGAACATTCAGTAGATTAATCAGTGGCATAGATCACTGCAAAGCTCACCACTGACAGCCCATCAAAGCTCAGCATGGGTGTGAGCCTGGTCAGTACCTGGATGGGAGACCTCCTGGGAAAAACTAAGGTTGCTGCTGGAAGAGGTGTTTGTCGGGCCAGAAGGGGGCACTCACCCTGTGGTCTGTGTGGGTCCTAATGCCCCAGTATAGTAAAGGAGACACTATACTGTAAAAAGAGGCGCCATGCTTCGGATGAAACGTAAAATCGAGGTCCTGACTCTGTGGTTATTAAAAATCCAAGGGTGTTTCTAGAAAAGAGTAGGGGTGTAACCCTGGTGTCCTGGCCAAATTTCAGTTGGCCCTTACCAATCATGGCCTCCTAATAATCCCCATCTATGAATTGGCTTCATCACTCTGTTCTGCTCCCCACTAATAGCCGATGTGTGGTGAGCGTTTTGGCGCGCTATGGCTGCTATCTCATCATCCAGGTGGGGCTACACATTGGTAGTGGTGGAGGGGAGTCCCCATTACCTGTAAAGTGCTTTGAGTGGAGTGTCCAGAAAAGCGCTATATAAGCATAAGGAAGTATTATTATTAATTAGATCACTGACTTGATACATGTGACAAGTCCAGGTGAACAAAATCATACCTTATTCAATTCAACTTTATTGTCATTAAACTTACACAGGTGCATAGTATAATGAAAAGTGTTTCTCATTAGTCACTCAGGTGCAGTATATAAATAGGACAGAAGATAAGACAATAGACAGTAACACAATAGCAATAACAGTAACATGTAATAACATTACATAAATAACGTAATCAAGTAATCAAAACTGTGCAAAATTCTGCAACAGAGAAAATATAACAGGACAAAAACAGTGAAAGGTAATTCTTGGAACAGTGCAAAAATAGTATGGTTAAAAATATTATGGTTAATTAATATTAAATATTATTACGACCAGTCCAGTTTTACTGGGCTATCGAGGGGACAGTACAATTTCGGCTTACATGTGTGTGTAGTGGTGTAGGAGTACAGTCATTGTGGGTACAGGAAGACGTTAGGAGAGATCATACTATGGTGGGAGTGTTATTACAACTATTGTTTTGGTACCTGTTTTGGTGTTTTTACATTAACATTTATTTTTAGAAAATGAGCAGCCACATTTTTTTCCTGTGCAACTTAATTACAGTTTGTTAGTAATGTACTATATACCCAGCAGTATCATGCAATACATTTATCAAAAGACACGGAACTCACATGTTACAAGTCTGACTAATCCTGCTATTTTACAGACTCTGCAGACTTCAAACAACCACGCAAGACTGTAAGAAAGGTACGGTATGTTTAAAACTGTAGGCAAGACAGTGTGGTGTTCTGTGCAATCCTATATTAGACAGATTAAAGGACTAAGAAGATGTGCTTTAACACAATTGATCAAGAAAATGAAAAGTTTCAAACTGTTTAGTAAAACAGCAAGAAATTGAATTTGAAAACTTTTCACTTTCACTAACCAATAAATAGTTTTTAAAACTAATATTTTTCTGTCTTGGTAGTGAATTAAACAGATATATTTAAAAGTTACAGTATGTGTTATTAATAATGTGTTATTATAATGTATAATGTGTTAATAATGTGTTATTAATGTGTAATTTATCCAGAGAACATTATTTTACATAGCTAAGTGTAAATCTGCTATGACCTTGTAAATAATGGAATTAAATTCAGCAAACTGCCTTGTTTCTCTTTAAGCCAACTTGTGTAACCAAGTGCATGTCCACAGATATACAGTACACTAAGGCTAAAAGTGTGACAAAGCAGAATTCTTGTTCTATTCATTTACTACTCACTTTGATCAACTTCATAATCTATACAGTATCTAAATAATTTATTGTATCCTCCTCATTCAGTAATAAACTATTTTAGATATACTCCTTATGTAAGTTTATGAATGATGTCTAACTTTTTCACTTTTGTGATGTCTAAAGGTTTTCTGTATACATTCCATATAGAATGAAAGGCATTAGTAAATCATTCATTAGTAACACAAATGTAAGTTTCTTTTCAGTTTGACAGATATAACTATTAAAGAGAACAAAGAGGGTTTGATGGATTTTATGACTAGGTATGTGACATATTTGATATATTGATATTATGACATATGTCAATATGTTGTCTTCAAGAGATTAACTTATCTGTAATACTGTATCCATCACAATTTTTACATAGAAGAAAACAACAACTGAGATGACCAAGAAGAAGCTGAGGAAAAGAGAAGAGTAGAAGGAGCTTTTACATTTGTTTAGCAGGAGGTCATTAATTAGACGACAAAGGCATGAACATTTGTCAGTTTAGGAATTTAAAGATTGTATTTTTTTTTTTGCCTACAGAGCTATGTTTTAGTATTCACTGAAGTCAGTCAATGGATATGATGCTGTATTTTATAACTCACTTTCCAGATACTTTTACTTAAACCAGGCTAAAATAATCACAACAAATGACCAACAACTACACGAGAATAGACGATGATCTGAATTACATATTCAAAAAGTGAGTTTATTTTATTAATATTGAGTTGTAACACTAAGGTTTTTGTGCCATAGAATATGTAAACTCAGCTGTTGTATACAAATAGCTTCTCAATATAGTGGAAGATAAACATGGTTTGAAATGTGTACTGTATGTCTAAAAAATATCCTGTTCATGATTGTTGTTATTTTGTTCTTGTTTACTTTAAATAAAACATTGGATATTTTGTAAATGAAGTGCATTTTGTTTTCTTACTTCCAGAATTTACTTTTGCTTGTTTTTTGAAGGTCCAGGATTACAGTCACAAACATGAAAGGTTTGTTATGATGTGATCTTAAATGAGAAAGAAAAATTAAAATAAAAATCTACCTAATACTGTACTTCTGGTAAATTTCTTAACTTTTTAAAATTTCAGTTTGAGAAGGTTAGAATAACTGATTTTTTATCTGATTATGGACTCTTGATTGTACTGTTTTTAAAAGGGAATTTTCTAAGTCTTACAGAATGGGGCTTTCCAGCTTGGAAAGTCCCTGGCTGCAGTCCAACCCAGAAGGCAGAGTTTTAATTTTACTGCCAACAAATGAAAGCAATGAAAACTCACTAAGTTATGACTAACAGTTCTCTAAAATCCTGTCACTTGATACACTTCAAAATTAATAAATAATTATTTATATATATATATTGGCAGTCCGAATTATGTACAATCATGATTAGCACAACCTTACTGAAAGAAATAAAACAGCGCAACATTTTTATTTTTATATATTTTTTTGGCTTCAAATGAAAACAAATTTTGCTACAAAAATTTCTTACTCCTTCCCTGGTAGTGCTAAAAGCTCCATATATTGTAAAGATTATGTCATTTTCATTTAGTCTTTTGGGGCCAACCATTTGTCAAAATATTGTTCTCTGTAGAGGACTACATTTCCAATAAATATTTCAAAAATAAGTTTTGAATGGTTAAAATATATTTATAAATAAATTTATAGTGCCCTACAGCATATCCTATTGTGTTTATAAACCACTAATATTTAAGAAAAGGCAGAGCAATAACAAATCAAAAAGATCTAAAATTCAATTCAAGCTTTATTATCCATGGAGGTAATTTTCGTACAACACAATAAAACACAATAACACAACAAAAACAAACATCACTTACAAAGAATACAGTACAACAGTGTTTTAGGAGATAAGAGATACCTTAAGTTGAGACTAAGACTGAAAGATTTCATCCCCTCAGCAAGAGTCTATAACTGCTACAGCAAGGGGCAAAGAGAGAGTGTAAATCCACAGCAGTGGGGGTGAGTCACATCATCCACGACAGTCTTCGCTGTCTTTACTACCTTCTGTTTGTAGAGGCTGTGCTAGCTACACTCCGATATTCCAATTATAAATGTGCTAGCAATGAAACCATATGGGATAAATTTATACCAGTTATCTGTATTTTAAGTTAATTTCATAGAAAGCTAATAGAATAAAGATATTTTAAGGAAATCTATTTTGTCAGTGACTGTCATGTTTGTTTAAGCACACTGACAAAAGTATTAGTTTAACTTAGTTCTGATATCAGCAGGATATCCTATACTGATGCTTAACAGCAGGCTGGTTAATATATACTGTAAGAATACTGAAAGCAGAGCAACAACGCTGTTTTGAAAAAAGGACTGTCGTGCCAGAAATTAAGAGTTTCACGCAGCCTCAAAGAACAGCACATGAAATATTATGACAGTAAACCAAAAGAGAGTACCAAAAATCCTGTTAAGGCAAAAGAAACAAAAACCTGACACTCGTACCTTATAAAAAGAGAAGTTTAAATGTTTCACATTGGAAAGATATTTCAGTAAGAGCCTGGACAGAGGACCTGAGAAAGGCTGTTCTTGAAGAGGTGCAGTCAGCTGGAGTAGTAGGTGTGTGCAGTGACCCTTGTAAGCTGAGTGATGATTCAACACATGACTGCAAGCAGCAGCGGCTGGGAATTTCCAAAAAGCACAGGACATGTGGAAAGTCCCATAGCTAAATATGAAGAAACTTCTTATATTACAAACAAAATACCTTTTTTTAAAAAAATGCGGTATATAAAAAAAACTTTAAATGGGTTGATAATGCAATTTTCTTTCTGACCGATTGAAAAAGGAATGCTTTGAGACATCTTTGAAACTATCTCTAAATATAAATCCTAATTCTTAAGGCTGTTTTACAGTACAGTGCGCATGTGTATTTTTATGGCTTTTTTTAAAATTGGAACAGAATACTTGGTCAGCTAGCTGCACCAAAAGCGCACCACTTTTAAAATGCTACTTACATGGCTGTAAAGAATTAGAAAGACACTGCACATTTACAAATTAAAATATTTTTATCTTTTATGCAGTGGCAGCAACACTAAACTATTTATGTTGCCATGAGACTAAAGTCAAATGAGGGCATAGAATATGCCAAACCTGTATACCGTTCAGAAGGTATTACAGTTTGTATGAAGCTGTAAGTAAAAAGCATGTTATACGCAGGAAGAAAAAGACCTCAACATAAAACTGGACAAAGCAGAGGGGGATTAGAAGTACAACAAAATTCAGTCATTATTTAAAATCCCACAGCTAAGCATTTCCTGCTTTTGATGTTAATTCTGTATCACTTCACATTAAAGTCCCATCTTCCCTCAGCTAATATTTTGTGGGAAGTTGCAGACTGAGAATTCTGAGAAGCTGAAAATGCAAAGACTTCCCATGAAGTGGAAATTAACCATGAAATTAACCATGAAAACAAACTGAAAGATGAGTGGGAAATATTTATGCACAAGTTAAACAGATGAGACAAATCCACAATAATGAGCTGGTAACACACTGTAGTACAAAACAAATGAGGTGAGCAAATGAATGAGATATAATCGCTCCATTCCCAAATGTCACTGTTTTTCAGCATAGTCCATGAGCTGATAAACCATCTGTTTAAAGCTAGATCACCAAAAGAAAAACTAAAAGCAACATGTTTTTAAACCGGCATTTACCCCATTGAAATCTTGTATGACGATTTTAGAAAACAGAGAAAGAGACAGTTGGAACCATATAAATTTGTCCTGGAGTTGACTAAATACAGCGGTACAATAAAAAAAAAAAGATTAGGTTGATTATTTGATTATTTGGTCTTCTGTTTGCAGGAAGAAAATTTCCAACTGAACTAAATCTCAGACAAATGAGTAAAAAGAAACTTGTTTTCCAAATACTTTTAGTGAGATTATAGGTATAATGCATTAGGAAGGTTTTTTTTGTGAGCTGCAAGAAAAAAAATGTAGTGAAATAATTCATATACACAGCAGTAAAAATAAAGATCAGACATATTATAAAATGGCTACAGAAAACTTTGAAAACTGTCGAGAGAAACTGTTGAAAACTTTTATAGAGCAGTCTTTTTGAGATTTTAAGATTTTGTCAAAAATTTACTATTTACTATATATTATTAAGATTCATGTAACTGGGATATAACATGAGCTAACAAATGTCTTTTCCACATTGTTCAGCATGCAGGTAGCAGTCAATCTCTCTCATCCTGTCATTTCTAATTATATGGTTGCAGACATAAGTATCCACACCCTTTATTTGAAAAATGTTATACTTGTTACTGTTAATTCCTTTAAATTTAATAGAAATTGATTGTAAAACTACAAATATTTATCAGTCATATGTATCCTAAGATTACTGAACACTGATTTCTGTGATCATATACAAGTACACCAAACAAATCCAGAGTATCTGTTTTGACAGAGACCTAAATGTTATCGGTATGGTACCTAAACTGGTATGCATTGGTATATATAGAAAATAAAATACAGTATGTGTCTGTACTCAGTATGTACAATAATGCACATATTATCTCCCTAATTCAACTAGTTAAGCAATTTCTTGTTTAACCTTTGTACAGCCCGGGTGGGTGCTGTATTCAGGCAGTAAATTAAGTGGGTCCTCTTCTGTACACAGTACTTTGGAATCATGTGAGATTAAAATCTTCTTGCGTGCAGGGAATTATTAATGATTATTTCTGCAACTCCACAGACGTCAATAGAGAATACAGGAAGAAAATAAATCACATTATCTTTCACTGGTTCATTCACTAGAAACCCGATCTAACTGTTAACTGGGTGTATATAAAGTAAATATGAAAGAAACATCGTGTTCAAGACATATAATTCAACAATGCTAACAAGATTTAACTACACACGATAAATCGGTCATGGCTATGGAATAAACACCTATCAGTATAAAACACCTTTCAGTATAGCTGGCCTTCCATCTTACACATGAACACGTCTTTCAATGTTTGAAAACACATTTTCTACCGTGCTGCCTTTCGTATGCTTTACTATTTCACGATCTGATCCTGGTTCTGATTCACTATGTTCACAAACGGAGAGTTGAGCTCCAGCGTGATCAATGAGATTCACGACACATTCAGACAACACAGAGAATGGAAAGCCTTTAAAACGTTAGTGTAAAAAAGGTTCCAAAACCAAGGTCTAAAGCATTTCCATAAGTCACAATGCCCCAGAAATAATTACAACATAGATTCGGAACAGACAAAAGAGAAAAAATACTGTATATCAACTGTATTAAACTCTTAACATTATCAACCGTGACGCATGATGTGTGTCACTAAGTTCTAACTCTCGAGATTCGAAAACAAATATGTGTGACTAAACACGCTAATTTTCAGAACAATAATGAGTTGTGTGTAATATGCGTGTAATATTTGTTAAATGCATTACACCGATTATTAAAAACAGTGGGAAAAGTTAAAAAATAAGCTTTTAAACCAGCAGTTGTCGTGAATACAATAACTGAAACAAGCAAGTCCCTACATAATGGTTGATGTGAATCGTTCTATTACTTCGATAAATGATGTTTGATACAATGTAATGGTAAATTGTTTAAGAGTCTCCCATCCACTATAGTCTATAGTTGTCAAGACTCACCAGTAGCGATAAAACCGCAGAACAAACCTACTTCCTGTTTCTGGTTCAAACCCATGTGACCCCTCTGCCAATGACGACATGTCATGTTAACAGAAACTAGTATATATACTGTACTGTGAACCTGCAAACTAAAACGAGTGTAACTGTGAAGACAGTAATGAGCGGAGGATCACGTTTGTTAAGTAAAAGGTATGTATTTGTAAGAGTGATGCAATTATATGTATACATATTAATTTATATTTATTTGTAGATGGCATAATTTATTTTTATAATTCTTAGGAATTTTTATAGTACCGAAGTGAAACTCAGTAAACTTAATGGATGGAACAAAATGTATCCACGTAACTGCGCAAATATTATAAATAATTGTATATAACTATCGAAACATCTGAGTGGGGAAAAAAGTAAACCCTGAAGAAAAACTATTGTACTAATGTAATTATATTAGTACTTTATGATATGACTATAATGTACTGTAACAAGACAAACGGTCCTATAAAGTGTTTATTATCCACAATAAATTTCATTTTGTTAACGTATTCTGTCTTCATTGATTATAATAATTGACCTACTGTTACTGCTAAGGATATTGCTTTAGAATGTTTCTAACATCAATATGGTTAATTCATACATATTTGTGGCGGTAAGATTGTTTCAATGAATAACATTAAATAAAGAATGAGCTTTTCATTCTTTGTCGAGCTGGAATAATTCTTAACATAAAGAATCTAGTTTTCAGTGAATCTGTGAAGCGGACTGTGTCCCACTGGCAAAGGTAAAGAGATAAAGAGATAATTGCTCGAGCAAAGTATTTCCAAAGCTACACCTGCATCAGAATATTGTGTATATAACTCGGCATAATAAAACTGCCTGGTCTAAACGGAACAGTCAGTATTGTTACATTTGCAAATTATTTTCGTGGTAGGAAACACTGCATATCAGTGAATGACAAACACAATTTTACTTTGTGAATAAATTATATGACCACATTGTTGATGTTATTTTTTCTATACAGCTTCACCACTTAAGTAATAAAGTTAGTCGGGGACAGATATCATGGTACCTAATAAATAAATTACACAACATTAGATTTGATGTATATTTTTCACTCAAGTGTATTGTAAGCAATAAAATGTCATCAAACAACTGTACTGTCTCATTTAAACGACCGTGTCCTACATGCGCCATTAATACCTCGAAAAGGGCAATTTTAGCGCTGTCCCTCATTATGAATGGATGCATTTCAGAAGAAAAAATACATCGTTGTTAATCCAGGATTTTAAATTAAAACGGTCACTGGGTTTTATGTAAATTAGTGCCAAAAACATCAAACAGCCAAAGAGCTATGTATTTGCACATTATTCACCATTAAGATGGAACCAGCGATCAAGCTCAGTTTACGATCAAGAGGACATTAATATGTAACGTGCGCCACCTCGTGGAGTAATACGTACGTCACGAGCAAAATCTCAAAATGTTGGTGTTTTTACGTACAGCAGTACAGCAGTGATATGCTTCCGTTCGCCGATGAGATAAAGAAAGTTCGCACATTGCTAAAAACCCCTCAAAGTAGAAAAAAACTGTTATTCTATATGAGCCAGTCAAGGTGCTTTCCAGAAGGCGGGGTTAATATTTTAAGTTGAGGAGTCGGAAGCAGAACTTGCTCATTCAGTCAGGATAATCGAAGAGGAAAGACGTTACTTATAATTCTCAAGATGCCTGCACTGCAAATTAAGGACTCTGAGGTATGTTTTTATTATAATCGGATTAAATTGATACATTTGTCGTTACATGAATACTTATACAGTTTACATAATACATGAGGTGAACACGACCATATAAGATCAAGTGTAGTGTAATCTTACATTAGTAAACTATATACTTTTAAATGGTTTAGAGTATTTACAGTTGTTTTTTATAAAGGCTATACAGAATACTATAGTTAATATTTTTTAATTATTTGTGTTAATAAGTAACTGGAAAGTCCCGAAATACCTGGGGAATTCAAAAGGAAATAAGTTTAACTTGTTCTTAAAAGAAATACCTTCAAAACCCAAACTTCCACAAGTTAGGACACATGGATCTTAGGTCCACAGCAAAGGTGTTCAATGATGCATGAAGATACCAAGCTTTCAGTCCAGCTTTATTAAAAACGAACCCCAAGACAATAACAAATGTCCAATAAAAGTTATCAGTTTTGTTATATTTTGTGTGTAAACGAGGGCCCTTGCATATTCACCACCCCCTCACAAGTGTATCCACAATGATATATTTTTAATTTAATTTCTGGCCCAATGCGGTCTTGAAAACACCATCGCCCGAGATGTTGTTTTCTGCCAATTGAGGATTAGCGTACCGCACTTAAATCTGTACTCGACTGCAAATATGTTTTTATCAGCTGATAATGATCCATATTTATAAGATTCCAAATTATCTGTTTTTAAAAAAATAACATTACCGAAATTTACCACAACTGGCCACAGAGCGCAAGAATGGATTTCTAAATGTGTTGAATAATTGTATTCATTATTGACAGGTAATGTAACATTTAAGACTTTCTATATTAAAATTACGGCTACAACGAATCTGAGGGAAACCCTAATGACTATTGGATCATACTTGCTTATTATGGCCAAATACTCCTTTCCACCACGAGTCATTTCATGTATCGTCTTAGCAATACGAAAACGAAACACAGCGTATACAAACAGACAAGTTACATCTGTAACTTGCGTGACTTCAAGCTTCAGTTCAACCAACTCACTCCTGAGTACTTCCACGCGTGGGCTGTGTGCTCCCAGAGGTCCAAAAGACACACAGCGCCATCCTCAAGTACCGCCAGCTGCTCCAGCGCCGTGTGAGGCCTCGCTGCTCTTCTTCTGCTACAAGCGCACAGAGATTGGATTCCAAGGGGACTATACTCCTACAGGACTCTGTTCAAGCCCTACCAGCCGGTGATTGAAATCTGCTGTAAATCAGGATCTAAACAGAAACAGGGCGATAGCGGTCATTTTTAATTCATTTAGTAACATTATTTTTTGTATGAAGACGCTCAACACAATCAACACCGAGCATCACCTTAAGAGTTTGTAATCTTTCGTAATAAAAATCGAAGATATTGTTTCCTTGAGAACATATATTACAATATTCCTATCAACATACAAGACCAATGGAATCTCTAATTGAAAATTACGTACACATTTACCTTTATATTTTGGACCTTGGCTATAAATAATAAATATAAGGTAAATTATATAGTAAATTATATTATTTAAGCTGTTAAATCAGTTGTTTTCATATCAGGATATGTATACTCCTTAAAAAAGGTTAGAAAGTGTTCTGTTGATTCGGAATCGTAGTTTCCGGCTTTCGTAGTAATTTTCAGAGCAGGAATGAGCAGGTCCAGGATGTTGCGAACAGTTGAAAACGGAGCCTCATTATTAAGCCCAATTTACCATCCACTGACACGCATTCCGATGCGGAAAATAAGTATTTGCCCTGATAAAGGTAATAAACGGGCGGTTTTGTGCTTTAATTGCATTTTGCATATCCATCCTCTCAATTTATTTCGAAGCCGCATCTTCAGAAGGGTCAAATTGACCCTATCTCGTTTTACTGTTATGTGAAAGATGTCCTCTTTACAAAGATATTAAAAACGGAACAGCAGACGCGACTTTAGGTGACATGCTATATATTATTTTACGCAAAACGTGTAAGTTATAAACTACAGTTAGAGACAGTGGTCCGTCTTTTCCACCTGCAGTGTGAGAACCTGCTCG